CTGCGGGGCCCGGCAGGAGCCCGGACCAGCCTGCCCTGTGAGGCCAGCGGGTCCCCCCCCATCAGCTACCGCTGGTTCAGGAGCGTCCCGGGAGGGAAAGCCCTGCTCCTGAGCAGCCAGGCTGAGCTGGCGTGGGACAGCCTGCAGCCCTCCGACAGCGGGAAGTACTACTGCGAGGCAGAAAACAGGGCTGGGGCCAGGGCTGTGCAGCAGAGCAACGCCGTCGAGCTGACCGTGGCAGGTGAGTCGCCAGAGCCCCTCATCTCCACTACACAAGACTGAGGCAGGGAGTTTCCTCTTCCATAGCGGGATCAGACACGTCACGCTGAATATGAATTGTGTCTTGATCGCCACCCAGCAGGGAAACCACAGGGGCTGGCATCCTCCCCGCTTCAGAGCGTGCCTATCGTGGCAGGGGTCAGGAAAATGTCCCCTGTGTCCCTCTGGGACCGGGACTGTGCAGGATGGGAGCCTGGCTCCCGCCCTTGGCATGTCTTGCTTTTACCTGGCTCGTACTGCAGGCAGGGCGTGGGGGAAATGGCCTGATGACCCGTCTCTCCTGCAGAGTCCCCTGAGACCCGCAGGTACAGCAGACCCCCGCTAAGCCCCCGAGGCGATGCTCCCCGGCGAGTGCCCACAGGTAAGTGACCTGGGCTGCAGGGGAAGGGCTGCTTTCACCATGGTGCTCTGTGAGAGATGGAGAAGGTGAGTGAGACACACCTACTTGACATTCCTTTTGGGCTGCAGATCCTCTTTGCAGGTGGGATAGAAAGGGCCCACCCTGTCTCCCGGGTGCAGGTGCTCAGCTGTGGGTAGCTGGGTCGGAGCCCCCCGGGACAGCAGCAGAGCCAGTGCTGGAGGGACCACAGCCTGGGAAAGCAGGGGGTTGCACAGCTGCAGCAGGAGGTCAGCCGGGGCAAGAAACCTGGCTCGGGGCTCCATGCATCAGGGAGCCTTAAAGTACAGCTGCGGATGGTAAACGACCCCACACCACCCAGGGAGTCGCCACAGGAGAGATGAAGTGAGAAAGTCCTGCGGAAACCTGGATGAGTCCCAGCAAGACACAGCCGAGGCCCTCCCTGGCCATGCTGTCACCAGGCACAAGTGCTGGTGCCCAGCGACGTACCGTGCTGGCCAGGGCTGCCAGGCACCCTGGGGCAATGGCCAGGGAGGGGGGACGCGAGCGCTGCATGCTGCGTGCTGCCCGCCGGCAGAACACACGGGGGACAGCGCCTCAGGGATAAAAATCTGGCTTGTCACTCTGAGAGCAGGTCCAACTGGTGTTTCCTTTCTGTCCACCTCAGAGTGTTAGCGTGCTCGGCAAAACGGGGCAGGCAGCTTCAGGGCAGCGGTTAGGTGCAGCCCAGGGGAGCCGTGCCCCAGCGCTGCTCTGCAGAGCAAACCCAGCTCTCCTGACGCCACAGGGCAGCTCCAGGAAGGGTTACAGTGCATTCACCCTTCTGTTTTGGCAGACCTGCCTGCAGCAACGCTGGTCTCCGGGAGGGATACGGTTTCAGAGGGGCCTCCCATTGCCACAGGTGAGTGTAGTTTTGTGGTGGCAAACACAAGATTTGCACTGGCGAGGGCAGGTCGGCTAATGCTGCCTGCAGACCGAACACCAAACCTGGCTGCTGCAGGGAACAAATCCCCGGCCTGTCAAACATCAGGCTTTCTCCTAGGAGGCCGGGCTGAGGGAGCTGGGGGTGTTCAGCCTGGAGAGGAGAAGGCTGCAAGGAGGCCTTAGTGCGGCCTGGCAGTGCTGAAAGGGGGCTATAGGAAAGATGGGGACAGGCTTTTTAGCAAGGCCTGTTGTGACAGGACAAGGAATAATGGATTTAAACTGAAGGAGGGGAGATTTAGACTGGATATGAGGGAGAAATTGTTTACACTGAGGGTGGTGAAGCACTGGCACAGG